TGTCACTGACAAGAAATGTTCCTGGCCATCTCTCACGCAGTGGGGGTAGATCCAGCGGTTTATATAACCTGGTTCCGCGGCTTCCGATTTTGAGGAATCTCACTCGGTGTAGCTTATTCCACAGACCACAATTAAGCCAAATTAAGATTCCTGGCGGGAAGATGGCCCTTTCACTGGCTTGAGTGGATGGGGCACTAGTACAGGCAGTCCCCAACTTACGACCACAATGGAGGCCCAAATTTATGTTGCTAAGTGAGAAATTTGTTAAGTGAGTTTTGCCCTATTCTACGACTTTTCTTGCCACATTTGTTAAGTGAATCGCTAAAGTTGTTAAGATAATAACACAGTTGTAAAAGTGAATCCAGCTTGTCCCAGAATTCCCTAGCCAGCTTGATTTAAGACGGGTGGACTTCCACTCCCAGAATTCCCCAGCCAGCGTGCTTTAACATGGGTGGAGTTCCACTCCCAGAATTCCCTAGCCAGCTTGATTTAAGACGGGTGGACTTCAGCTCCCAGAATTCCCCAGCCAGCGTGCTTTAACATGGGTGGACTTCCACTCCCAGAATCCCCCAGCCACGGGGAACATCTGTGCAGCCAAACCTCAGTTCTGCATGCAGATTTTTCGGAAAACCGTTTTGCACGGAGTGAAGATCCCGTTTGCCGTAAGAGCTGTGCCAGGCAGACGGGCTCCGGCTGATGATTAAAACCGGCGCAACGGCTGAAGGAGAAGTTGGCTTGCAACGCCTCCTGGGCCCGGGTGCAGGTGACGACAGAACAAGCCGTGGCTTGCAGCAGTTTCGTTGCGTACGGCCTGCTAACAGTTCACAAAACCGTTTCACTTGCTTCAAGCCCCCCCCCCCGCTCCCCAACAACCCCAGGCAGACAAGCGGTCCTTCCGAAGGGCTGTCCTGGCTCCAGCAGGCCGAGGTTTGCACTCTGCACATGCCCAGGCTGCCCTGGGTGAATCTTTTCTGTCCCAGCAGGCCTACGAAGACATCTTTTTGAAAAGTTTATAAAGTCAGGTCTAATTTTATGATCTTTTTTTTTGGGTGTGTGCCACCGTTGTGAAGCCAATCACGGCAGTCATTAAGTGAATCATGAGGTCGTTAAACAAACCCCGCTTCTCCCATTGACGTTGCTTGTCGGAAGCCTGCTGCGAAGGGGAATCACAGGAGCCCAGGATGCAACTGTTAAATACATACCGGTTGCCAAGCGCCCAAATTTTGATCATGCAACTGTGGGGATGGTCATAACTGCGAGGACCAGCCGTAAGTTAACCTGTTTTCATTGCCATTATAACTTCGAACACTCTCTAAACCAGGGGTCTTCAAACGTGGTCCTTTTATGACTTGTGGACTTCAACTCCCAGAATTCCTCAGCCAGGCACGTGTGCCTGGCTGAGGAATTCTGGGAGTTGAAGTCCACAAGTCATAAAAGGACCACGTTTGAAGACCCCCCTGCTCTAAACTAACATTTGTAAGTGAAGGACTGCCATCCAAGTCCAGGACATTAGGGTAACCCTGCCAATTGTGGTCACTGAACAGACCACAGTTAAACAAGCAATCGTTTGCAATGTGCGGTTTCTGGGTTGCAAAGCCATTAAATTCCGTAATGAAACGTGATGGGCAAAGTCTGAAACGGAATAAAATATGGCAGAATATGCCAGCGAGAAATAAACAGAGGTGTGGCATTCAAAAAAGACACAAGCTGGGAAGCAAATGAATTAAAGTGATTATTACGGTTTTAGGCTAGCATAGAGATGACTCCGAAAGAAAGCTTCATACATACATTATGCTCTTAATTTTTGTAGGAAGCTGAGATTGCAAAATCGCTGATTAATATTTATATAACTCCACCTGAAATATGAGGTAAAGCGATCGAGCAGCACGTCGGTGTGGTTTTCTCAAAAACTCACAAAAGCAAGTTGTTCCTTCTCTTCCGAAATGCTTTCTCACCCTTCCTAGCCGGGGCTTCTCCTGGTGGTGCCATTTTCCTACTTAAAATCATTGCAAGCATCCCCGTGATCACGTGATCAAAATTCAGACTTTTGGCAACCGACGTGTGTTTATGACAATTATAAGTGTCCTGGGGGTCACACAAAAATAGAAACGCTAAGAAAATTACAACACAATGATGGTTTGACCAAAAGGTACAGGTATGTTCAGATAAAGTCATAAAATCCATCCATAAAACCATAACAACCCAAACTATTACAAACTACCAATATTAATGATCTTCAACTACTGATGATATCAATCATAATCACTCTTCACCATGCCTGGCTCCCGATGGGCTGCACGCCGGGTGCCAAGCCACCATCGCTTCTTGAACAAACCACCATTGCGTTTGTGAAATGCGCCACAGGTCAAGCCAAGGCTTGCCAACCCCAGTTGCTGCCTTTCCACGTTGCAGCAAGCTGCTGGGATGAGCTTGTGAGGGGCTAGGTTTAGCAAAGGACTCCCCCCCCGCCCGCCCCAACTCCCGTGGCAAACCACCTTTGCACCCGAAGCCCAGATGGGATTTCAAGGTAACAACAAATGCATGTATTTTTTTTTTATTGAAAATTTTATAAAAGTTTTACAATATACCTCCCCCCCTCCCCAGAACCCACCCTTCCCCTCCCCCCTCCCCCCCCGACTTCCCAGAGCCAATCACAGGGTTAACAATACAATAACCATACTCTGTCTAACATTAATCACTATTAGATTAACAAATCTATACCATCCTTTAACTCTCTTTTAAACAAACATATTAAACACAATAATTATAACATCTTATTACTAATTATAGATAAAAATAAACCCCATTAACACTCTAAAGTTTACTCAAAAAACAAACGAAACTTTTTAGTTCCATATTTACTCTCAATAAATGCATGTATTGATAAACCCGGGTTAATGTTCAGTAGGGCGGCCTTCGTGCCACAAGCGATGCCTTTGCAAGCCAAGCAGGAACTGAGGCCGGGGGAACCGTTATTCTCTTCATTCTTTCTTTCTTTCTTTTTCTGTTCTTTTCTTTTTAAATCCGAATTAACACCCGCCGGGGAAATCCGACTTGGCCGGCTCACCGTTCCTCGCGCGCCCTCTGGCGGCAGCCGCGGGATCGCCACGAAAGGGACCCGGAAGCGGCGCCGGGCTGGAAAGCGAGCAGCGGCGGCGGCGGCGGGGTCGGCCAGGTCGGGGCGGTGCGTGGCTTTTAGGGGCGGTGGGCGAGCAAAGCAGCCTGGCCTTGGTGCACCGGGCTCCCGGGAGGCGTCTGCGGGCCTCGGGGGTCTTCCCGGGCCGGGGGCTGCATTGCAAGAGCGAGCGCGGTGCTTGGAGATCCCCGGGGCGCGCGGATTTGCGCTCGGGCAGCCCCCGAGCCTGGGAGGGGTCCAGAGAAGCGAGGGATGGCTCTGAAGCCGGGCGGGGGGCTTGGGAAGGGGGCAAGGCGGTGTGTGTGGGGGGGATACCCTGCTATGGCCCCTTTGAGCCGTCCCCAAACCTGGTTTGCCTTTGCTTGGGAAGCTTTGGGCCCCCGCGGGCGCCCCTGGGTCCTGCTGAAGGCCGCGGGGCGCACGCGCGGACCTTCCGCGATCCATTCCCTCCCTTGAGTGGATCGTCCCTGCAAACAAATCCGAAACCAGGTTAAAGTAGGACAGGGGTCTTCAAACTTGGCCCTTTGATGACTTGTGGACTTCAACTCCCAGAACGCCTGGCTGAGGAATTCTGGGAATAATAATAATAATAATAATAATAATAATAATAATAATAATAATAATAATAATAATAATAATAAAGTTGGAAGGGACCTTGGAGGTCATCTAGTCCAACCCCCTGCTCAGGCAGGAAACCCTATACCATTTCAGACAAACGGCTGCCCAGTCTCTTCTTAAAAACTTCCAGTGTTGGAGCATTCGCCGCTTCTGGAGGCAGGTTGTTCCACTGGTTAATTGATCTCACTGTCATGAAGTTTCTCCTGAGTCCTATGAGGAGAAGGGCGGGGTACAAATTAAATTATTATTATTATTATTATTATTAGTTCTAGGTTGCTTCTCTCCTTGATCAGTTTCCATCTGTTGCTTCTCGTCCTGCCTTCAGGCGCCTTGGAGAATAGCTTGACTTCCTCTTCTTTGGGGCAGCCCCTGAGATACTGGAAGGCTGCTATCATGTCCCCCCTCGTCCTTCTCTTCATTAAACCAGACATGCCCAATTCCAGCCACCGTTCCTTATATGTTTTAGCCTCCAGTCCCCTAATCATCTCTGTTGCTCTTCTCTGCACTCTTTCTAGAGTCTCAGCATCTTTTTTACATCGTGGTGACCAAAACTGGATGCAGTGTTCCAAGGGTGGCCTTACTAAGGCCTTGTAAAGTGGTATTAATACTTCACATGATCTTAGTTGAAGTCTAGAAGTCATCAAAGGGCCAAGTTTGAAGACCCCTGAAGTAGGACACAGCATGGCTGGGAGGGACCTCCAGTAGGCCACCCGAGTGGGACCCTGACATCGAATTGGGCTGGATCGGATCGAAACCGAGTACAGGTGGTGCTCGGCTTAAGACCACCATTGAGCCTATCGTTTCTGTCGCTAAGCGGGACGGGGGGGTATCCAAGCGACTGTTGCTTCATTTTACGATCGTTTTGGCAAACGGTTGTTATTAATCCCTGCAGTTTTTAAGTTAGTAACCCGGTTGTTAAGTGAATCCGGCTTCCCCCATTGACCTTGCTTGTCAGAAGGTTGCCCAAGGGGATGACGTGACCCCCCGGGGAGATGGCAACCGTCATAAGTACCAGTCAGTTGCCAAGCGTCTGAATTTTGATCATATGTCCATGAGGATGCTGCAACGGTCGTAAGTGTGAAAAGGGGTCCTATGTCACTTCATCCAGGGCCATTGTAACTTTGGTCACTAAACGAATGGATGTAAACCGAGAACTATCCGTAGTGGTGAATTGGATTGGGTCGGTGACGGTACGTTGAGCATAACAATATCTGATCTTTTTCATGTGTGCCTCCCAGGCTTCGCTATGGGGTCAAGAGGGGGAGAGCCCTGGGCTGCCACCATTGAGGCTTTCCGCCTGTCCCCCACGGCGTTCCTGTTGTCCCACGGGACCGGAGACACCTTTGGGGCCGACCTGTTGAATGAACTACGGAGCGAAAGGCTAGGGGAAGCAATCAAGGTATATATACACGCCCTGCTTTTCGGTTACAAAAGTAGGATAGCAACTTTAGGAGGGTGGACTTCAGCTCCCGGAATTAAGACCCTGGGCCAGCGTACTAGCTAGGGAATTCTGGGGATTGAAGGCCACTCATCTTAAAACGTACTAGCTGGGGAATTCTGGGAGTTGAAGTCCACCCATCTTAAAATATGCTAGCTGGGGATTCTGGGAGTTGAAGTCCACCATCTTAAAATATGCTGGCTGGCGTTTTCTGGGAGTTGAAGTCCACTTTTAAAACGTACTAGCTGGGAATTCTGGAAGTCCACCCATCTTAAAGCATGATAGTTGGGGATTCTGGGAGTTGAAGTCCACCCATTTTATAGCATGCTAACTGGGAATTCTGGGAGTTGAAGTCCACTCATCTTAAAACATACTAGCTGGGAATTCTGGGATTTGAAGTCCACCCATCTTAAAATATGCTGGCTGGCGTATTCTGGGAGTTGAAGTCCACCCATCTTAAAGCATATTAGTTTGGGATTCTGGGAGCTGAACTCCACCCATCTTAAAGCAGGCTAGCTGGGGAATGCTGGGACTTGAAGTCCACCTCTCTTGAAGCTGCTGAGGTTCAGGAATTGAGGCTCACCATTTTCTGGCTGCCTCCACATTCCTTCACCATCGTCCCCTCTTTTTCCCGCCTTGCAGCTCTCCATCCTGTCTCTCTTCTTGGAATATCCCACCCTGCTGTGCCCCGATGCCAAGACGGGCCGGGAAGCGGCAGCCTCCCTCCTCTCCCTCTTTGCCCAGCTGAATCTCTCTCCCAAACACGTCAGCCTCCGCTGTTCCCTGCTCTTCGCCGCGGAAACGGTCCTGGTGGCGACCGACAGCCTGGGCGAAGACTGCCCGACCTCGCACGAGCTGCTGTCTGTACTGCTCCATCTGGTGTCCGACCCGAATGACAGCCGTGGGGGAATCGCCGAGCGGCCTGTCCGTGCCGCGGCTTGCGAGTGCCTGCGAGAACTCGAGAGCTGCTACTCGGGGTTCCTGTTGCACCGGCTGGAGATCCTGCGGTCTCTGCAGCAGCAGGAGGTCTCCAGCGTCCACCAGGGCTACACCCTGCTCTATAGCGTGGCGCTGCGGAACGCCGTTCTCCTCCTGGCCCGGAGTGGAGAAGGGTGCCTGGGAGACCTCCTGGCCAGTAATGGAGAGTTGATGTGGGAGGCTACGAAGGAAGTTGGCAAGCTCTCGCCAGCGGGTCTCGACCAGCTGGTCCTCTTACCGTCCGCGGCGGACCTTAAGGAGTTGAAGTTGGTGCTCTCGGCTCTTCTGGAGAGCAGTTATCTGTTCACCTCCGCGGCACAGAGCCACCTTCTGTGCCATCTGGCTCAGGCGGTGAGCGTGGTGCGCACCCAGTCGCCGGTGATTTTCAAAGCCCAGCTGGCGCGTCTCTTCGGCACGTCCAGCGTGACTCTGGAACACGCCATCCTGCAGCTGAAATCGTTCTTCACCGACAGCCTCTTCACGGCCGAGGACGAGTCCTTCCTCCTGCGGCACCTGGTGGGGCTGGCGCAGCACCCGGCTCTCCCAGATGCCGTGAAGCTTTTCCACTTGGATTGCCTTTTGCACTTCCCCGAAAACCGGCCGCTGGTCTCAGGAACCGACGAACGGCTGCCAGTTCTGCTCACGCCGCGGGCTACCTCGGGTCTTTTTCCAGGGTTCTTCCAAGATCAGGGGACCGTCCTGGCCAGGATGAATTTGCTGTGCCTCGTGTGCGTGGAGAACGAGGGGCCCAGTGCCGAACGTGGGGCGGGTTACCTCCTGGAGCACGTCCTGGCCCTTGGAGGCCTCGTGGCCCGCGACGGAGGATTGGACGCCACCCGGCTTTTTTTCCAAGCAGCCTTCATTTTTGCCCAATATTTTGGCTCTCTGGCCCAGCCCATGGCAGAACTCACCCGTTGCCTGCTGGATCTCTACCGTCGCAACTGCACCTTAGCCCCGAACATCATCAATCTGTTGGATGAGACGTGGAGAACGGATGAGTCCCCCTGGGCCAGGAGCCTCGCCCAGGCCCTGCAAGAATTTGTCGTGAGCATCCCCTTGCAAGAGCAAGACCTGAGTTGGCATCTCAAGATTTTAGCCCGGCTGGCAAAGGAGAAGGAAGTTCCCCAAGCCAGCACCATGCAGTTCTTAGCTCGCCTGGTCACCTCGGGGAAACTTGGAGACTGGTGCTCCGGCCAGATCCTTCTCAGCGTCTGCCGTAATCTGATGGTGCGCCATCCCTCGCCCGCCTTGTCCCAGCTGGCAGCCCTCCTGCATGCCATCTCCCTGGGCCACACAGATGTGGACGTCCAAGACCGGGCTGGCTTTTATTACACCCTACTCACCAACCTGTCCAGTGAAAAATTAAGATCCGTGCTGGTCCCCGTAGTTCCCGTCAAGACTCGGTCACTCTCCTCGTCCATCGTTGCCGACAGCGAAAGCTTCGTGGCTGCGTTGACGGTGCACCCGGTGGATCCGGCCCCTTTGAGGCTGCAGCGTGTCGAGATCACAGGGGACACCCCTGCGGTTCCTCCCGCCGAGCAGGAGGTGGACGGGCACTGCCAGTGGTTGCTGGCAACCCGCTCTCCCTCGTGGCTCAGTTTGGAGTACCGGCTGGTCCACGCGGGGCCTGGCACGCCTCCCTACGACCTGCTCCTCTGCGTGGTGCTTCGGTTCACCTGCACCAGCCGGCATTACGAGCCGGTCCCCGAACTCTGCATTCCGTGCCTTGCCGTGCATCGCCCACCCCCGACGGTGAAGCTGACACTGCAGCCGCGTTGCCCGTACCCAACCCAGCTGAACGTTTCTGCCCTGTATACAACGCAAGACGGATTGACGCGTTGGAGTCAGCTGGAACACCTGGAGGTGTCCTTTCCCGATCTTTTCCTACCCCTGCCAGTCCCTGCCTGGTCTTCAGAGAAACTTTGCCAGCTTTTTGATGCGCTCTGGCAGTGCCTGCACCCCAACACCAAAGAGGCACACGCCGAGAGTCTTACGGTGTGGCCCCTGCCGCCCCGATCCTTAGAAGGTTTACTGCGTGACCAGTTTGGCAGGTATATCCTGGCTGAGCATGCCGACGAGTATAAGATCGCCCTGACTTTACCGCCTCGGGATCACATCCTCCTACAGGTGCGGAGTGTGGACGATTCGGCACGGGTGACCATTCGCACCGACAACTGGAAACTCCTGCCTTCACTTAACCACTATTTGCAGAGTCTGGTGAAGGCCGACTGACACCGCAGCGCTCCTGTGAGTGAAGGGAGAGGAGTCCCTCTCACGTGTTTTGGGGTGGAATTCTAAAATTCTCAGAAATGTCCCCAATAAAAATTTATCATTTGTAACCCCAAAATTGGATAGAGGAATATAATTTGGGGAGGCCGTGCATTTTGGCATTGTAAGACCTGTGGACTTCAACTCCCAGAATTCTGAGGGAGGATTTCGCCCTCCCTCTGACCCAGGGGTGGATCCCTGGCTGGGGGGCGGAGCAAACAACAGTGCTGGCTGAGGAATTCTGGGAGTTGAAGTCCACAAGTCATCAAAGGGCCAGGTTTGAAGAGCCCTGGACTAGTCTAAGGAAGAGGAAGATGAGGGGAAAGATGATGGCAATCTTCCAATATGTGGGGGGCCGTCATAGAAACAAGGGGGGGGGGGTTCAAGCTATTCTCCAAAGCTCCTGAAGGCCGGACAAGAAGCAACGGATGGAAACTAATCAAGGAGAGAAGCAACCTGGAACGGAGGAGAAAGTCCTTCACTTACAACTGTTAGTTTAGAGCAGGAGGTCTTCAAACTTGGCCCTTTGATGACTTGTGGACTTCAACTCCCAGAATTCCTCAGCCAGGTACGCTGGCTGAAGAATTCTGGGAGTTGAAGTCCACGTGTCTTAAAGTTGCCAAAGTTGAGGACCCCTGCTCTAGGGTCTCCTGCTTGAGCAGGGGGGTGGACTGGAAGACCTCCAAGGGCCCTTCCAGCGCTAAGGGTCTCCTTTATGTTATCTTAAGGCTCCCTCCCTCCCACCCGGGGGTGGATCCCTGGGCGAGGGAGGATCTCCTCCTCCCTCCCTCCTACCCGGGGGTGGATCCCTGGGCGAGGGAGGATCTCCCCCCTCCCTCCCACCCGGGGTGGATCCCTGGGTGAGGGAGGATCTCCTCCCACCCTCCTACGGGGGTGGGGGTGGGGGTGGATCCCTGGGCGAGGGAGGATCTCCTCCCTCCCTCCCTCCCACCCGGGGGTGGATCCCTGGGTGAGGGAGGATCTCCTCCCTCCCTCCTACCTGGGGGTGGATCCCTGGGCGAGGGAGGATCTCCTCCCTCCCTCCCTCCCTCCTACCCGGGGGTGGATCCCTGGGCGAGGGAGGATCTCCTCCCACCCTCCTACGGGGGTGGGGGGTGGGGGTGGATCCCTGGGCGAGGGGCGATCTCCTCCCTCCCTCCCTCCTACCCGGGGGTGGATCCCTGGGCGAGGGAGGATCTCCTCCCTCCCTCCCTCCTACCCGGGGGTGGATCCCTGGGCGAGGGAGGATCTCCTCCTCCCTCCCACCCGGGGGTGGATCCCTGGCCGGGGCGGGGCCGTCGGGCAGCGGGAAGACGCGCGAGGCTCGCCATGGCCGCCGTAGAGCGGAGCGCGGCGCGGCTGGCGCTGGCTTCGCTGCCGGGGGCGCCCCGGGAGCCGCTGCACCTGCTCCCCTGCTCCATCCAGCACGACGGCCCCGCCGCCGTGGCGCGCTACTTTGCGCCCGCCGTCCGACGCGACCCAGAGGCCCCAGACGGTAGGCACGCGGGCTGCAGCAAAGTCCGGCCCGGACCCGCAAAAGCTGCAAAAGCAATCCTGAACCCCGGTCCCCCCCCTCCCTTCTTCCTTGCGCGCAAGGAGGGGGACCAGCGCAGGGCGCGGAAAGATGCCCGGAAGGAGCCTTTTGCAACCTGGCGCCCTCCGTTTTGGAGAGCGTTGCAAGCCCTCTTCCCCCAGTTCAGAATTCGGAATAGAGCTGGAAGGGACCTTGGAGGTCTTCTAGTCCAGCCCCCTGCTCAAGCAGGAGACCCTATATGCCGTTTTAGACGGGGGGGGGCTGCCCATTCCCTTCTTAAAAGCCTCCCGTGATGAAGCCCCCGCAACTTCTGGTGGCAAGCTGTTCCACTGGTTAATTGTCCTCACTGTCCGGAAGTTTCACCTTAATTCCAGGTTGCTTCTCTCTGGTCAGTTTCCAACCATTGCTTCTTGCGCGCAAGGAGGGGACCAGCGCAGGGCGCGAAAAGATGCCCGGAAGGAGCCTTTTGCAACCTGGCGCCCTCCATTTTGGAGAGCATTGCAACCCCAGTTCAGAATCGGAATAGAGCTGGAAGGGACCTTGGAGGTCTTCTAGTCCAGCCCCCTGCTCAAGCAGGAGAACCTATACCATCTCAGACAAGTGACTGTCTAGTCTCTTCTTAAAAACCTCCAGTGATGGAGCGCCCACTATTTCTGGTGGCAAGCTGTTCCACTGGTTAATTGTCCTCACTGTCTGGAAGTTTCTCCTTAATTCCAGGTGGCTTCTCTCTTTGGTCAGTTTCCAACCATTGTTTCTTGTCTTTGCCTTCTGGTGCTTTGGAGAATAAGTTGACCCCCCCCTCTTTTGTGGCAGCCCCTCAAATACTGCAGTGCTGCTATTCAGAGGGACTACAATTCCCATTCTGCCTGGCTGGTCGCCGAGGTCAGAAAGGGTGCGATCCAATATGAGAATTGGGACATCAGCCCTTCTGAGAACCCACCTTGTGAATTTGGGGTTATTGTATTGTGTGAATCGGACCTGGAAGTCTCCAAATTGGTTTCTGAAGCCGAAGATGGGTGGACTTCAACTCCCAGAGTGCTCCAGCCAGCAAATTCTGGGAGTTGGAAGTCCACCCATCTTCCAGCTGCCAAGCTTGAGAAAAACTGGGTTAGTGGGAGAAGCTCTCCTTTATATGCGGGTTTTAAATTTAATCCTTGCCTACCGTTTCAGAATTGCAGCCTCTTTTGTCCTTGAAACATTTGGGGTGTCTGTCAAAATCTCTCCCCATTTTTTAATAAGATGCAAGAGATGCTAATTGTCTCACTGTAGAATCTGCTCAATGGCTCAAAGCCAACCCCCAGAATTTTTTTTTAAAAAAGGAGGGTCCCCAAGATTTGGGACCATCAGTTTCACCCCCACTTCAGAAGTATCCATTAACCTGCAGAATGTGAAAGAGTACCAGAATTGAACATTATAGGTGAAACTTGGAGCTGTGTCCACACAACGCCGTGAACAGATGAAGGTTAATCTTGATTTATTTTTTGTGCTTTATTAGCTTTTGATTCCTTGTGTTTAGTATGAATCCACTTGATTTTCATTTTGGAGAATTATAATTAGGAAGATAATACCTAATAATAAACCCGACTGCTCTTGAGAAGGCCAGATCCTGAAGTTGAAACTCAAGTACTTTGGCCACCTAATGAGAAGGAAGGACTCACTGGAGAAGAGCCTAATGCTGGGGAAGATAATAATAATAATAATAATAATAATAATAATAATAATAATAATAATAATAATAATAATAATAATAATAATAATAAAGTTGGAAGGGACCTTGGAGGTCATCGAGTCCAACCCCCTGCCCAGATGGAGGGCAATAGAAGAAGGGGACGACAGAGAAGGAGGTGGCTGGATGGAGTTCCTGAAGCAGCAGGCGTGAGCTTCAATGGACTCCAGAAGATGGTAGAGGACAGGAAGGCCTGGAGGAACGTTGTCCATGGGGTCACGATGGGTCGGACACGACTTCGCAATGAACAACAACAACAAACACCCTATCATGTGTTTTTTGTAATTTAATTAGTACGCCTGTTATTTCTAGTTTGCTACTGATGTTTTGATTCAGTTCCTTTATTATTGTGTGGTTAGTGTGCTATGGGAAAAAAAAATAAGGGGTCTTGTGAATGCAGCCGCACCCTGCTTGAGTCTCATCGCGGTGGCTTCTCTCCTCCCTGTCGCCCTCATCCAGGAGAGGCTTCCGTGTCCTTCCGTGGCCGAAGCCTGAAGGGCAAGGAAAGCTGTCTTCCCAAAGGATATGTCGGATTAGTGCTGGAAGAAGCCAACTTAGGCCTAACATTGAAGGTTTGTTCCTGGAATGGGATGTGGGGAAGACAAGGCAAAGAGACACTGCCGAGGAACAGTCAGATAAGAGGCAGCTGAGCCTTCAGCTGCACAATGGATGGAGAAAAGAGACTCAGGTTTTCCCTTGGCCGTGGAGACATCCTTAGACGACCTTGGCGGCCTTCCTGCGGCCCTCCCGGACCTGGGGGCCTTCTGGTAGCCTCGGCGGCCTTTAAGAACTGGACCAGCGGCCCCGATGGCCCTCCCAATGGCCCCTTGGCAACCCACTCTGGCCGCGGTGGCCTTCGGGCTGCTCTTCTAGCAGTCCCGGTGGC